CGGAAAACACCTAGAAGATACAGTACATGTTTCGCGATTGAAAAAATTTGTATCAAGAGGCGATCAAAATTACGCTACGGGCAGAGAATCGGAACCTACTTGGAAAGGTCAACTACGGGAAAATGTTTATAGAAAAAATGAAAAAATCTCTGCAGAAAAAAAAATAAAAACCAAAAACGTACTCGATGTGGAAAGTGAAAGGTCGGACATTTCTGAAAATAATGATGATGAAATAATTACAGACACCGAGGACGCGGGTCAAACCGACGAAAAAATTGAACAAAGACCAAAAAGAACAGTTCGAAAACCAGAACGGTACGGATATATAAATCGCATCACTCTGGACGATGTACCAACTCAGCCCGACCGGCCACTTGTGACCCCCGCATTAAATGTCAAAAGACTAGAGGAACTACTAAAATTGCACAGTGAAGAGCTGCTTAGCAGTAACGATTGCTACAGAAAGAAGTGCCAAGAAAAAAGGCGACATGATGAAATTTTACTTGGCCGGTTCTGGGAACAGTCTAATGAAGACATCGAAAGGATTTTGTGGTTAGAGGAAGAGAATAAAAAATTACGGATGGCAGATTCCATTGGAAAAATAAAGTCGACAGCTCAGGATTTGCAGAATGCATGTAAAATCATTGCGGAAGAAACTGGTAACATGATGAACCGGGTGCAGAAACTCAGTGCAAGAGAACCGCTAAAAAGGAGGACCCTACTACCAAAATGTTTACTTCCCGGAACAAGCATGTTACTCATCCTTATAATGTTGCTATGTTTTGGATTTAATGGCGCAAACGCGTTGACCCAGGAGGTTTGTGATTGTAGCCGGAAAGACTTCTTAGGTTTGGTCTCGTTAAAAAATTTTTCAGCTTGTGGAGCTCCAAATAATGGAAAAACACCGAATACAAGAGCTTACGTACTCTATGAGGAGCAGCTCCCACAATTATTATTTACTGCTTATATGTGCAAACAAGTCATTAAACGGACTGTTGTGTCCTCTTTCTTCTTTGGAGGAACAGATACAATAAAATCGGTACTAAATAAAGCCGAATCTGTGGACGAATGCTGGCAAATGGTACACTCTAAGAAATGTGTTGGAAACGATATGGTCAACACTGGTAATGTATGGGATTACACTAAAGATTCGGAAGGAAATGGAAAGTATTTACAGGAAATTACTTATGACTCTATTAATTGCATATTGGAGGAAGTACAGTTAAACCAGAAGTGTAAAAATTGCACCGTGGATTCTGCTACAATGATGATTGCAAAAGACAAAATGCAGCAGTTTGCAATGATTAATTATGTGACGTATGTATGGAGGACTAACGCCAGCACTGCGTCAAATTGTAAAAAGTTAAGGAAAAATTACGGCTACGGCGAGCTAGATTCTGTGAATGATGTACGGCGCCTTCGTGATGATGTTCATCAGTTAGATTATTATATTGGGAAGAGCGTAAAACTGTGCGGTGAAGAAGTGGAGGCTTATCAAGTTATCGGAAATCCCAATCTGAAAATTACGCTTGGACCGGTAAATAATTATTACGAAAAACCGAAGCTGAATTTAAAAAATGAGAATAAAAATATGACAAAACTGTTACAAAATGCAACTATGCAAGAATTTGCATTATTTCAAGAAAACTTCTTGTCTCAACATTTTAACTATTTCTCAGATATTGATACAAAAATCTTAATTACATCTCTTCAAATGTGGCTGCTCTTGATTGCCGGATCGATAACACGTTTTTGTTGAACTTAGTCGTTTTATCGCAATTTAGCCCGGTATTAGCGGCAAAAGCGCTCAAATACCCTAAATGTTTTGCTGTACACATGATAACAACTGACAAAGCAGCCGTTTTCAAATGTGGAAAAATCAATGCTACATTTACGGTGGAGAATTCTTATGGTTCCTGTCAATATCTACAACCGCGGTATAATGATTATACAATTGGATTGGATGGCCTTACATTATTACCGTACAAATGTGTACATACAATGCCTTTTGTTTCTTTTAATAATAATATTTATGCGGTCATAAATAACACGTGGAAAAGGATATACAAAGTGACGCAACAAGCACTACATCTACACATTAACAGCCGCTTTGACCCGATTGTGGATGTATCGGCAACATATTATCATGCTGACTCCGTGTACATGCAACAGCCAGCACGTGCTACAGATCTGCAACAGTTTTTCATCAGTGGTCTTTCAACGCCTGTCACGTTAACAAAAGCACTCATCCATGACTGGGGCATGGACGTGCGCATCAAGCAAACAGTTGGTACAGTTGTTAGTATTACAGTTATGTTAGTTGGCATTTATGTAGGGTTAATACTGCTAAGATGGTTGCTCGGGACGCGCCTGCTTAACGAAAATAATAACGTCTCAGACGCTGGGAGTCGGGCCGGCACCGTTGGGAACTGGTGCACTGCCCGCGATCGGAAAGGCATGCGAGTACTGTTCAGCCGCAGACGGAAGACAGAAGTGGATATAAAACACTGCACAGACCATCAGTTGCCCACTCATGCGGAACTAGCTGTTAGTGTACCGGATCATACAGTTCCTGACGATTCTACTTCAGTAGTGGATACAGTGACTTTGCCCGTCAACCTGTTATTACCTGCAATGGATATTGCTAACGATCACCCACGCAGCGGCCGGATTGCCTCTCCAGAAATTCCATATCAACCACCGCGGATAGTCATGACGTTCAAGAAGGTAAGCCGCAAGAGTGCCAGAAATGCGCGTATTGAATCGTTCCACCGTATGAAGATTACCCGAGACAACGCTATCAAAGCCATGGTGGATGAGTTTACGGAATTCACGCATACCGTTGTCAACCAGCAAGGTTTTCCGCATGACCAGCCTGCTATGAACATCCTGATGGACATGGCACAGCGGACCACGACTGCCTTGGAGACGCTTGCAAAAGACAACGATTTGTTGTGGGACGCGCTTACCAAGTGCCGAAAGATTTGGGATGCCGCCGAAAAAAATCAGTGCAGTTCTGGGCACACCGATCAGATGGTAGCGGGACCATCAGCTGTGCAGCGGAGCAGCCCTCAGCGTGAAGAGCAACCGCCACGTTCCTTCGTTTTTCCGGCCTTCGCTAAACCGGCAACCAAGGCGCCGACTATGGCGATGGTGCAGCCACGACCATTCAAGCGGCAGCCTACTCCTCATCCGAGGGAATTATCCGCTCGAACCGGGAGCTTTGTTTGCCTGCGTATTTTGCCCAGTTGCGCTCACCACCGCCTTATGTCGAAACACCACGAAGCCCCAGCCCGATGGCCAATGATGACATTCAGCAATGCGCGGAGACACCAGCAAGTCCGGACGAGGATATGCCTCGCTACGTGATTGTGAACCGTAGTGCTGCCGACCAGCAATAAGTTTGTACTGAAGTTAATTTTATTATTATTCCTTTTATATTAAAATACAAAAGAAGAATTATTAATGATTAATTGTTGTATATAAAACCGATTAATATAAAATAAAAAACATAATATTTACATTTGTGTCGTGTTATATATACATTATACTGTGTATGTTTTGTTAAGTTGTTGCAATATATTGTACTAACATTGTTTTTTTATATAAAATTCATGCCTGTTTTTTCACAGTTATTTGATACTGTAATGCCCACTACAACGGTTCTTTCTGCTGTGGAAATTGTGTATTTTGATTTTTTAAATTTTCGTATATAATTGTTTTTTACTTCCTGTTCCTGTTGGATTCGCCAGAGACGTCGAATCTCAAAAAGGAGGACTGTCACGGACGGCTTAGTCATCAGCATCATCGAGGTCAGCGACGATTACATTATATGACATCAGCCTTGCATCAGACTCGCTCAGCCTTGCATCATGCGGCCTCATTCCCACGCGATAACGCCAGTGACCACACCCTCCGGCTGGCGGCACCACTCCGCCGCGCGGGTATATAAAACCACAGCTGCAACCACCGGAAGCCAGTGTGCTTTCCCCTGCGAAGTCAACCGACCAGCAGTCTACAGCCAGCCCTGCACCGGACCATCCAGCGATTGTACTAGCTTGACCTTTTGTTTAGCTTATAGCTTTGTTGTAGTGGGCACATTGATTATCATTAAAGGTCAGTCAAACACCGGTGCGTTGCCTAATCGTTATAGGTATTGTTAAGGTCATCGTTGACCTGATCCATAGGGCTCATACACACAGCACTACAGGTAGAACTCATTGTTGCTACAACTGACTGGCGAATTTCCCATTTTTTAATTTAACCCTAATTGCAGAGTTGTTGTAATGATCATTACTATGGACCTGGTGATACAGAGAGAAGTTGGCATGTCCAGTTTCCACATCCCTGTAAATGTCTTTTAAGTAAAACCTCCTGTTACGTATACTCCCACGTTACGTACACCTCTGCCGTAAGTACGAAAAATTTCGTACCGAAATACTCCATAGATTATAGTACAGGGGGAACGTCTGCGTGGCGTACACCTCCGCGATATGTTCACGTACACCTTTTCCTCTGTACCGCGTAAGCAATAAAAGCACAAGTCACCTCGAGACTGCGTACACCATTGCGTACGGATAAATATTTCTTATAATTTCCAGTGCAGAAGACCGCCAAAAGCATTTGAGATTCAAAGTCACAACAAAAGCTCGCTCAGAACTGTTGTGCTTGATGTTAGTCAGGACGATTTCTTTACTGCTAATCTTCGAAAGAACCTTCCTTCTCATCGAAACAACGTTCTTGCCCAGAATCTTTCTTTTAAATTGATGTACCATTGCGTGCTTAACGCCGTACATGCCGTACATGCCGTCCATTAAGCGGATTAACCGTGTGGAATTTTGATAATATACACTGCTGACTAAACAGTGCCCCTGGGTTTGCGGTCACCCCCACAGGGAGGGAGAGGCTGGGGGATTGCAATTCCACATATTACTTACATCTCCACGATACTTACGATTTTTTTGAACGGAGGTTACGTACATATCTTGGAGGTTTCACTGTATTCGTCATTAGTCAGTTATCAAAGCGCCTGCGCAGATTTATACCACTCGTAAGTTACTAACTAAAATGACAGGAAATTTAATACTAGTTTTTCACACTTTTTAACCCTGCTTTTGCTTCTCCTGCAACCGCTGCACCGCGGTGTACCGATCAAAATTCACTCCGAACTTGACCTTCCACCGAATCGCCAGCGGATCCTTGTCCGCACCCACCCCCACTTCCGCGGCGACCTCCTTCGCGCGACGGACCTTTTCCACGGTCCGTTCACTGCAAACCCTTTCTCGATGTGTCGCGCAGTACTCCGTTTGCTGTTTCTCCTTCTCTTCTGCTTCCTGTCGCTGCTTCTTGCGTTCTTGTTCTTCCACATACAACCACGGCACAAACTCATCGTCCACGGTAAACAGATGATGGAACGGACCCAGATGCATGCGGTACGAGGAGAACGGATCCGATAGAAAGTGTTCCAGCGTCGCCTGGATAATCTCCTGAATAGGAGCGAATTTGACCTTAAACCACAAATTCACCGGGTGGTTCGTCACCGGGTTCCCCAGTTTGACGCGGGAGGTACTCCCGGGAACCTGGTGTTGGTACGCCAGGCAGCGCATACATTGGTCCACTAGATCGGTGCGCTGTTCCATTAGATCGGTATTCTGTGAATCTTGAAACTGTACGTCGAGGAAACGGCGGACTTTCTTCCGTGTTAATTTCCATTTGTGTTTGCCGGTATAGGACTCCGACCAGTCGCGGTCCTCCAGCCAGCGCACCGCGTCGGGAAGTTCCGGTTTCGGTGAATCCCGGTTGATAGTGATGTAGTCTTCGTATTCCGTGGCGTGATGGTACGGTGAGCCTACAAACACGTGACCGGTGCGACGATAATACACGCTGAGTTCGCCGCGACACTGAATCAAATTTTCGGTTCGTTCACGTGATTCGTTGGCCCGGGTTTGCATAACCGTCGACCCGACGGGTTCGTCCAAATCCGCATTCGTTAGCTCGATGACCGGTGGTGTAGTTCTCGCCTGGATTGGCTGGAGGATGTCCGAAAGCGAAAGGTCACGTTGTGCTAACACATTAACCGCCTCTTGAACATTTAAACGGTGGAGATCATTGCGCAGATATCGCACACAGAATCCCGGCGTGGGAATAACCGAGGCAAATGCCGAGTTAGAAATAGTTTTAAGGAGATATTTGTGCACCGCATCATGGCGTCGCGAGAACGCATCGGAAGCATTAGGATCCCAGTCTTTAAAGCAGAGCACCAGCGCGTCCCGGATTTCTCGTTTATCTTGGATTGCTTCGGCGGTTCGCCGCAGGAATTCATCGTGCAGTTGGTTAAATGACTCTTCTGGATGAATTAACCACGGAAAATCCTGGATGGTCTCCGTATTCAGTTCGGTCAGCGCGAGTACATCGTCCCAGAACGGCAATTCAACATTCAACGCAGTTTGTGAAAGGTCCACCTGGGCTTTCTGCAGATCAGCGAACGACGATTTTATATCTGTGGTGCTCATCATAAAACCCTGCAGGAACAAAGTTTTGCTCAGCTTCCACGATCGCGTCCATTTGGAACGGAGGGACACTGGGATAGGCTGCTCCGTTCCCGCGGGATGCATTTCGTCGCGGCCGGTACTCCCTGTGGGGAGCCAGGTCGACGGAATCCGACTGCCTTCAGCTGGAGCAAAGAGCGGCGCGTAGCGGGTACGAATAAGCGGGTCCAGTTCTTCCGGACCGCCTTGGTAGAGACGCCAGATTTTATCCAGCTCCCAGAACAAAAGACCTACGACAGGTATTTCAAATTTACATAGAAAGAACCCAGGTTAAGCTTTGGCTGGTGTAAATTCCGACAACTAAAATGAAAATAACTTATCTGCGGTATAAGTACCCAGCTGTTTCAGTGCCAATAAAAATTAATTTTGCGGAGGATACTTACACCATAAAGCGAAGTAGTGCGCCATAAAATGCCGGTTAGGTTTCAACGCATACAAGTAGGTCTTCAGTTTTCCTTGGTCCAACAGGTCTTTCAGTGTTTTCGTCAAGTACGATGCTGCTAGTCCGAATGGCCACCTACACAGCACATCAGGAAATCAGCAGTAACATCCTTTGCAATATCAACCAAACCCACCCATATTGCGGATGCAGCGAGTTCTGCATAATCTGGTTGAGGTATGTTGGGTAATATCTGGCAAAAAACCTGTAAAATCCAAACCTGACAGTTGAGTTCGGAATTCAGCAAGCCGAGCAAGGCATAAGAAGAACGTACAGCAGATGCTGCAGCGGCAACATATTCATCTTCCCGAAATCGTCGATCGGATCGCTCATAATAAACATGTTGGTTTTCCAGTCCAGGAAGAGAAGAGATTTCTTCTGGCTGTCGGGGACCATCAGGTCGTACAACTAAACGCAACTTTGCAATCAAAACGTATTCCGGTTATGGGACGTCGCGTACTGCAGCGAATCTTCTTAAAGCGTACAATACGGTAGTAATGCAGATTGTCTTCGTAGTCCACCATCTTCTGCTCGATCAACTGGTTGGTCTCGCGGATGACCTTTCCGTACTCCTGCATCAGGTGAAACATATCGGTGAACTCCTCTTTCCATCTGAAACCGCAGCAACATTAGCGTACGGGCGTTGTTGCGATGTGGGCGGGATCATACCCTTACTTTGTATAATCCAACGTGTCGCCCGGCATTCGGCAACCGATGTGAATGTAGTACAGACAGTCCTCTGCAAACGATCGTTTACTTTAACACAGCTTTAGTAAAACGCTTTAGTACTCGTACCAAGCGAATGTGGAAGATCATTGCCAGCGCGTTGCAATTGCTGATATCCAAGAAAATCCATTTCGCGTTCTACGAAAACGAATACTTTATGCTTGCCAAGGCTATGTATTCGAAAACATTAGCATAAGTTGCCGGATTGGAAAAATTTCGAAGCTTCGCTTCAAAGTTTGTTTTTTTGCAGACTAGCGCTTATGTGTTCGAACCCCGAACGGAGAATTTACGTCCATTAGACGAGCTTCTGTTGCACCACTCTTTGCAGATCATATTATTAAATTTTGGACGCAGATCATATTATTAAATTTTGGACAAGTGGTTCGACTGATTGATTCTGGTTTCTGTTCAGCCGTTCATCATTTGCGGCTTGTGGCAGCAACAACATACATACACGGGAAAGATCTCACCGACAAGGAAGAGCTTCCATGACAGAGGTAGTCGCTCGGCTTGCAGAGCTTGCTCAACATAGATTCTCGCGGCGGTCGTTTTGCGCCACCTATAAAAAATATATACCAATAAATCTACGAGCTGCGTTTATCATTTCGCGCTGGGATTACCAAACGATGAAATTCCCCGCCAAACTGCGCACCACCGCCCACACAAACGCATACGTATCGCCGCTCTCCCGCTCCGCCATCTCGGCGCGTTCCCCGGCTTCCTTCCGCTGTAGCGCCTTTCTTTCAGCATCGGCACGCCGCAACGCGTACAGCACCTCCTCTTCACTGAACCGCACCCGTCGGCGGTAGCGCGCCATCACCACACTGCACACCACGTCCACCACCGCGGCGCACTCGCGCGCCAGCATCTCCGTAACGGTGCGGCCGCAGAAGGCCAGGAGTTTGCGGGCCTTCACGTACCAGACGTCGTTGTCCGCGAAGATCTCCGGCAATGGTGGGCGGATGGTGGTGATGTCGAGGGCGGAGGTCTCCTGGGGTTCGTGGTACGGGATGACGTGGTATTGGGAGATGGAGTAGTGGTGCTCGGAGGTGGAGGAACCCACCGGGATGAAGGCTTTGTGGGTGAAGAGCTGGGCGCTGCGGCGGCGACGGTGCTCGAGGAACGGCCGGCGTTCTGGTTCTATGAAAGACATTGTTGATGGCTAGTTTTATAAAAGTTGCTAAAATCCGACCTAAATACAGTCATATAGTCTAATCGATTAAATTACGGGAAATTTTATAAAGTACAAAATCGGTGATCAAGGAAGTAATTTATTTAAATAAACTTAAAACATTACTACAACTTTGTTGCTAATTATTTAAATAATTGTTAATTCAATTTTTTTTCAAATAGCGTACACTACATATAACAAATTTAATTGTTCAAGCAAAATAAATTATGTTATGTTGAAATGGATTAAATAAACAATACGCATAAAGGTACCTGTGGGAGCCTGCATCACGTGATCGACATCAACCACGTCATTATTCGTCTGCAGTCCGCAACTTCGCTGCTCCGCATTCTGGTTCTTCACCTTCTCCGGTTGATTCAACCCAAGAATCCCCGCCAACACCGAATTAGGCAGCGAACCCTTATATCGCCGAATATTCTCTATAATGGTGGGAAAGGTCACCAAGATATGATAAGCAAAGGCTTCAAAATCCGAAGACTCCACATCGGGATAATACAGCAAATGCGGCAGACCGCCGATATCTCTACGGAACTCCGCATGGCACCACTCCAGAAAATACTCGCTTTGGAAGTAGTCCAGGGTGCGGGATCGCGGTTCTGTGCAGATGGTTAACGCCGCGGATCTGTCGTGATGGGGATAGACTAAGGAGCGGTAGTGCGTGAACACCGTGGTGAATACCCTGCATTTCTCTGGTTCAGTAAGGTCCGCCCACGTCTTACGAAGAGGGGCGACTTCGGCGGGAATTGGTGGTGCTTGGGATGGTGTGGCATCGGGAGGGTTGTCGACGACGAAGGTTTCGCTGTTGGTGTCAGGAGCGGTGGTGGGGTTCTTGCGGGAAATAGGGCGGGTACGACGCTTTTTAGCGGATCGAGACGGAACTGGGCGACGTGAGGCGGGGGCCGTACGGGTTGGGGGGCGGAGTCGACTGGTTTCGAATGGGGAGTTCTTATTGGACATGCTTTCTGTTGCTTAAACGAAATAAATCGGAGAAGCCAATAATAATGTACAATATCGAGAGCACATCGTCAACCAGCTGCACCATGATGAAAATGCCTGGAACTAATATCCGTAATAGTAAGTCATCTGCAAAAGCGAATGTCAGGAATTCCTGCGCTGCATGGCCTACAATGGTAAGTGCGTTCGGGGCAACTGAAGACTTTATAATAACGGTACAGGAATTAAAAGAGCATTAATTAATTTTATGATCCTGCCATTCTACGTGCTCAACCAAGTTCTGATAAAGTTTGTCGTGCAGTGTTAAGTAAATAACAATTTTTGTATTAAATTTAATATTATTAAACTTAATATAAATTTATTAAAAGTACTGTACTGGTACATATTCTGTTGTTAGGATGTCGAAGCGGGGCGCGCAAACGACATGCACCAAATTTAAAGTACATACTGTTTAGATGAGTACATCCTACCAGTATAATGAAGTACGGATACAGTTGCCTGGTAAACGCTAGAAGGCTCAGTGCTAAGACGATATCATGCGCATAATTATAAGTACATATTTATACTAGCTATAATTATTTTCTAAGTACATATGAGCACATAAAAGTGCATAAAAGTGTATAAAAGTGCATAATATCTACTCTATATACTTATATTTGTAATGAATTTTTTCTGTATAGGATATTGGAGTGAACATAGGATAGAAACAAAATTACGGGTCACATCATTTTAGCACATAGTACACTTCGTCCAATCTCTTACCAATACAGAACGTTTCCTGAACACAAGCAGCAGTACCACGCATCAAAGCGCATTACCACGCATCAAAGCATCCATGCTAATTCTCTGCTTCAGGAATAGAGTGGACCGTTTCTCCTGTGTCCTCTCGAAAAGCATCTTACCGAGCGTAGACATCTTGCATTTAGATTCTTTACTCCATACGCCCATTGTTTCAAAAACCAAAGCAGAGAAAATAAAGTTAGCCCGTAGATATCCGTGTTTATTGTTTTTCTTGGCCTCTGCCATCGTCGCGGCCGCGCTGGCCTCCTGGGACGTCTTTCTGTATTATAAGCACAGAGTCTGTCATCGATGGCCGTATGTTCGGTTATATTCAGCGGCGAGTCACTAACTTCTGAACTGAAAGTTAATATTTCTGAGGTGAAAACACACTTGCCACATTCCAGCATGTTTGGTTTTGAGTTTCGCTTCGCTGTTCTAGTACGCAAGTGTACTCGTTTTGTGGTTCGCTGATACGTTTTTGCTGACTCATCGACAACTTTTTACGCGATTTTCGTCACCCGACGCGCATCAATTACCAAAATGCAGTTGACCACTACCACTACTCTCATACTCTAAATGGTTATTCCGATCGGTCGCAGCCTTTGACTGCGACGGTGTATCGGATGTTGTACGAATGTTCGTTCTGTACCGAACGACCTGAATTACAGCAACGTTGGATTATTTGCACAGCCGCTGCTTCTTTGGATTCACCCAGGATGGTTACTATAATCGAGTGTGTCTGACAGTGAGGCAGATTTGTGGTTTGCATAGAACTTCAATCGATCAAAATAATTTCCATAAATACATAATGTATTTTATGTTCTTTGGACGGTGATACCAATGATATTGACGTACGATGCAGCGTACGATAAGCGTACGATACAGACAGATGCCGGTGTCTACAGGTTTTCTCACACGTCCGCTTGTTGGAAGGTTAATAAGTAAGTGCAGTGTGATCGCTGTGTAGTGTGTACAGGAACTCAGCTGTGTAAAATTTGTTTGCTGACATATGGTGAAACAAATTAGACAGAAAATGCATCGTGTACCCGATTGCTGTGTACCAAGCATCTATCTGGTTTTCTGGAAATCTGTGTTGTGAAAGACACATACCGTAACTGTGAAAAAATTCTAAATCGAAACCAGTTTCATGGCATTTTTTCACATGCTTAAGAAACTAAAGTGAATGGTTTTGAAATGTCAAGCATGGCCTTGGTTTGGCTGAGATGGTTTTTATCTTAATCGCAGCAGCCGGAGGAACTTACGACAGTGTTCGTATGAAGCTCACCCGTTGACGTTATATAAAAGCGCTGCCCAGTAAAGGGAAGAAACCCAGTGTGTACATAACATTAATTTGATTTCCAAATTCGAAAATGAATCTGATAATTTTTAAAATGCATTTTAAAACCTGAAAAAAAATTATTTAACTATGGTTCTGTTAGAGCGGCATCCGCTCTCTATAGGATCGTTTTTTTGCGAAGTTCTATACGATCCTAGCACATCCGTTGCATGGTGGAGATGCCAGTCGGTCCCCGGTACCTCATCAGTTATTAATTAAATTAAATTAAATAAATTGAACCGATTTACGGTGGTGGATAAAGCGCATGTAATAAAAAAATTCACACCTGAGCGCAACCGTATACAAGCTAGATTCGGGCTATATTAGCTCGAGGGACCTCGCTTCGTAGTGGAGGGGGTGTTAGAGCGGCATCCGCTCTCTATACAGGGATCGTTTTTTTGCGAAGTTCTATACGATCCTAGCACATCCCTTGCAGTTCGGTGTATGCTGAAGGCATTGACACAGAATGACGGTAAATGGCTGCCTCCGGGAATTTCCGTTCAGTAAATATGGCGGCACTAACAGAAGGATGACAATACCATCGTCTAATATGTATTAGACGATGGTATTGGCATCCACCTGTTACGACCGGATTTACCAACAACGCAAGCCGAAACCATTTCAAGTTATGCGAATATTTCCTTAAGGTGTCTGCTCTGGACTGCCCATTTTCTGATCGTCTGCAGACAGCAGTCATAAGAATCGACGAGTCTTTTTAAGAACTGTGGAAACTTTTAAAAGTCGTAACGAGTTATTTCGATTTTACTTTACGGATGATCTTCGTAATTGTCAAGTGGCGCTGGCTAGGCGCGCACCGACCATCGACGGCGGAACAAAGCAAACCCGGATGAAGGCTTTAATGCCGAAATCTAACACACACCGCGCTTTGCGCGCGAGCCAAAAAACCAACTGCCAAGATAACGGATCCTGCAGCCAGCACAGCTGTGCTGCAGGCCGTGAGAAAGCATGCAAATGCCCAGACAGGAAAAAACCCAAAACCAACCAATGACAGAAGGGCTGAATCATAAGCCCGCCCTGACATCCCTGTACGGTCTAACACTGAGCTCCTGCGAAGTGCAGGTAAATGGCGTGATGCGCCGTAAAGAACAGTGGATACAGGGACCGGTACGGTCCCTGTACTATGTCTAATAGACTGTACTACCGGGTGGCTCGGTTCCAGTTCGGTCGGCTCACGTGGTCCGGTATGGGATCCAGTTCGGTCAGGTTTGGTCCGGCTCGGTCCCGGTTTGGTCGGCTCGGATCTGGTTCGGTTTAGGAATGGTTCTGGGTCGGTTTGGCTCGGGTTCGGCCACGGGCGGTCCAGTGCTTGGGTCAACGCACTGTCGCGCCAGAATCCAGGGTCGGATGCGGAAATCGGTAGATTCCGCATTTTATCCGTCTGGAAAAAGGTCACGGTCTGGGGAAAATCGCGCAGGGTTTGGGGCACAGGTACGGCCATGACCCTGCAAACACAAAAATACGCTGCTCCGGGTAGGGAAAATCAGCTGCTCCGCCGCGGGAAAGGTTGTCCCAGGTAGGACGGGCAGGGTTTTGTTGGGGGGAAATTTCTCGGCGTGGTGATGGTGGTCGATCCGGCCGTGGGGATCGGGGTTGGCATGGCTGTTGGTGGTGGTGAAGGGTCCGCAGGTCTCCTGCTGGTCCGGGTTGCGTCCACCGTCGGCATCCGTCATCGGTACGGTGTGGCTGTGGGTTTGTCCGTCCATCGCTGCACTTCTGGCTTGGCGACATCTCCATCCCCTTCTGGGAGAGGCAGTTTCCTCCGCGTTCTGCGGGAGTGACGGCACAGCTCCGGCGACTGACGGGAAATCCGGAGGAGCGGGTGAGCTCCGTACCCGGGGGTGGCACAGGGCGCGATCACGCGATCTGGTCCACAACTCAGAGGTGGCCCGTGAGCGGGGCAAGCCCGCTGTGCAACACACGAACGTCTCCGTGATCTGCTACCATGTCAAGTGGCGCTGGCTAGGCGCGCACCGACCATCGACGGCGGAACAAAGCAAACCCGGATGAAGGCTTTAATGCCGAAATCTAACACACACCGCGCTTTGCGCGCGAGCCAAAAAACCAACTGCCAAGATAACGGATCCTGCAGCCAGCACAGCTGTGCTGCAGGCCGTGAGAAAGCATGCAAATGCCCAGACAGGAAAAAACCCAAAACCAACCAATGACAGAAGGGCTGAATCATAAGCCCGCCCTGACATAATTCACGTTGTTATTACTTTTGCTACTTTTACCAAAAGCGTTGACAAAATTGTTGTTTTTGGGGGTCCGTTGTGACTTGTGATTTGTGATCGTGCTGTTTTTCAACGTGAGATCTAAGGACGTATCCGTACATATACTTGGAAGCCTCTTCCATTAAAGCACCGACGCGAGCACCTCTCGAGGAAGCGACCAATGATCGGGATCGTTGACCGTTTCCTCGCGGGGTGTTCCAGCCGATGAATAAATTGCTGTTGAGTGCACGCACAGTATTTACCTATGTGTATTTGGTCAGCTGTGTGGGAATTGCTTGGGAAAATAAAAAAAAACATGGGAGCATATGAATATTCTTGGTTCAGCTGCATAAATTCATTTTATTGGCAACAGCCATCCAAATAAGAAAAAATGCACGCGCTGACACCCTACTTGATCGTTAAAAATTTAGACATTTGTAAGAGGAGAATCCTCTTTACACACAACAGCCGCCAATCCGCCGCCTACCTGGTTGGCTCAAGCTCAAGCACAAAATTAATATCTTGATCTTCGCCAACAGCGGCGATTGCACAGCGGCTGTGCTACGTGGATCTCACTCGGTAGCCAGCTGTTCGAATCCGCTCCATCGCCATTTTTCGGAATTTCCTCAACAGACAGGATCTTCATCTGACCGCCCTCCCTCGCTGAGATTACCACGGACAGCCGACTTATGGCTGCCTCTGTGAAACTAAAAACAACCAAATTCCCGGTCCTCTCTCGAGTTAGAAAGTAAAGTAGTCAAAACAGCCGTAGCATTTCCTTTAACTATAGCAAGGCTGAATCGCTGCTTAAGAAAAGCAGTAGAACGCGCTTCTGCAGTCAAATCCCGAAGTTTACGACCCATAATGTAAAAATTCACTTAAAGCCGGGCCAAATACTCCAAGGGTTTCCATTACTAGAGGGTAAAAAAGGTATCCGTTTTCCAGAGACGAACAAAAGCATAAACGCCAAGAGTGTAACTTACATGCTGACACTATACCAGCGTCTTGGTCCACACAGCCGAGC